TGCAAGCACACAGCAATGGGCTGTAGCTCATCCAGAAAGAAATGAATGTCATCAATATTTTGCAGAAGACTTCTACAGTTCCACTGTATAAAACTATATGAGTTCATGTTAAAAACGGTTTAAAGTAACAACACAAGAAAAAAGGAAACCTGCCCTAAGTGCCCTGGGGCGGTTTGGGTGGGGTTACTCGCGGATTGAGCTTTTTCTGGGATGACTTTGTAATAAGCCTTGCGTCATCAGGTGGGACCGAACAAGGGGGAGGAGGTTCACCAAGTTCCATCCGCTCCTCCTCAGGCGGAACGGCTGAGGGAGCAGCTGGTACGGGCACCTCCTTACGTGTCGAGGCCTCTCCTAAAGCCTTAAAACGAAAACTACCCTCCTTCTTCTTGGGAGGGGTCCGAGTGACCAAGGCAGGCACATCGTTCGATGGCCCGTCCTTTAGAATGGAAGAGGCACTAGTGCCTTCTCCCTGAGGCTGGTGTTGCCGCCTCTCCTCTTGTCTCCCATCCATTGGCACAGAGGCATCTCTTGCCTCTGCACCATCTGGAGGCCCCTGTGGTTTCTTCGGTTCCAACGACAAACGGAGTCGTGGAGCGAATCTTTGTGAGGCAGGGGGAGGTGGTGGAATCACCAGGTCATTAGGACAGACCTGGATTCCTACCGAAGACTTTGATGGCACACCCCCTGCACGTGCCACCAAAGAGTAAGAACCCTTCTGCAGGAAGGAGAATCGCTTCCTGGCTTCGGGGAATGAGATGTTCTCTTTCACTTTGAGTGTTATAATTTCTTTTTCTTGTTTCCATTTTTTGCACGATCGGGAATAAGCAGGGTGAGGTTCACCACAGTTGATACAGCAAGGTGCATTAGAGTAATTCTCTGCAGGGTGATCATTTTTGCCACACTTGGCACATGTTGTCTTCCCACGGCAGCTCTGGGCGCTATGGCCATATCTCTGGCAATGAAAGCAACGCTGAGGGTTTGGCACATATGGCCGTACTCTACAGTTCAGATATCCGGCTTTCACTGATTCCGGAAGTGCCCTCAGCTCAAAAGTCAGAATGACATGCTTTGTCTTCACCTCTTGGCCGTCCCGTCGAAAAGAAATTCGTTTGGCAGCAATGACTCCTTGGTCACGAAGGCCATCGACAATTTCATCTTTGGGGGATTCTAGCAGGTCATCTTCTGATATTACGCCTTTTATAGTGTTCAAAGTGCGGTGGGGTGATACAGTAACCCTGTAGTCAGACACCACGTTGAGTGCCAGCAGGTCTAAGCTTTGTTGAGCGGTTACAACTTCAACGAGGAGATCTCCAGATGGCATTTTTTTTGCTTTAAAATTTTTTCCGATTACAGATTCAAGAGTCTTAGAGACCAGGAACGGGGATAACTTGGATAAAGGTTTTTCCGTTTCGGAATGCATGACGAGAAATCGGGGAAACTTTTCCACGGGTGCAAATGCTTCTCTGACGTGTACTTCGGTCCGGACCCTTTTCAGGGCCCGATCAGGTTTTTGGTTTAGTTTAGAACCCATAAGAAATGGGAAGGCGTTCGGCATCTGTAGCGCACCACCCACCACGGAGCCCAACATGGGGATAGGTAATGCGCCATAGCAATAAGGGTTTTGCTGACGACATTACGCTATTAGTGCTACCAAGACACTATAACCTAGTGTGGGTCCAGACAAGAGGTCTATTGCCACCCAAGGTTAGCCCTTACCGCCAAAGAGGGAAGAAAAAGGAGCAAGAGAAATGAGAAGGAAAAGAAGGAAACAGGACAGGTAAAAGTGAAAGATCGGAGGGGATAGTAGAAGAAAAGGCGACTAGACTGAATCATCCTGGCCGGGCCTTACCAGGACTCCCGTCTACGAGAAGCAGGGGCCGAAGTGGTGTATTGCCTCACCCGGGGGGCCCCGAAGGGTCCAAACCTACCCCGGGCTCGGCTCAACCACCAGGATGCCCTTTTCCTCGGACACGGGAAAGCCACGCACAGCCAGACATGGGCGGGCGAACCCGCATGGCTCGGGGTCCGTGGAGACGCCACTCTCCAAACACCTGCTTTCACAGGTGCCCCCTGCGGGGAGCCTGCCCGATGGTTCATTTGGTCCTGCGATTCTTGGTCCTGCACACGAGAGAAGCTGCAAGAATTGTTCCCAGCTGAAACGCTGCAGGTTCCTGTCTTCCTCCGGGTCCCTGTCAAGAAGCTTCTGTCAAAGCTCGTCTAGCATGCAGCAATCTTTCCTGCAATTCATCCAGTCTTTCATCAGGCAAGACTAAGGCCCGACAAGGTTTGGCAAGACCTTTTGGTGCCTGTGGTGTACCGAAGTGTTTTGCGCGGGGATGAGGACACCGACAAACACCCCTCCGCAGGCCCAGGACTCCGTTGCTTGTACGCTGAGCCTCCTTGAGCAGGACCATACTTCTGTTAAGCCTCGGGATGGTAAAGCTAGTGGCGCTTCGCACTAAGCCTCTCACAGTGTTCCATCTCGCTCGCTACTTAACATCAGCTCACAACGACTCTTTTTCGTTGTAATGCAGTAGCGCCACGGCCGTAGTGACAAATGCTGCACTCAGTCTCGAACAATAATACCACTAACAACAATACCACTGTATGCTGTTGGCATCTCGCAGAACGATTTGGTCGATCCTAGCTGTCGTCTGCTTGTTTCCTCCTCTGTGTGAATGCGCTTGGCAGGCGAACAATCCGCGAACGTGTCGTCACGTGAACAATCCGTCTGCGGATCGGTCCGCCGTGCTTTCATAAATTGTGAGGCGACGTGACTCTGTCAAAAATCTTGAAAGGTGAAGCGTCCGGCAGTACGATGTCTGTTTGGACACCACCCAACCAACATCACGATTTTCCTCCTTGCTTCCTCCGCTTTTCCGTGACCTCAGTGCTCGTGAGACCTGACGTCACACGCCACTTGCCAACGCTCTCCATTTGTTCTGCCGGGCCCTCGTATCCTTGAACGCGTTCCAAAATTTACTCGATCTTGTACTTTTGCATTCGAAAACCTAACTGCATCCAGCGTTGCTCTATCTGCGTTATCACGTGGCACGACCCGCCGGAGAGTTCGGATCTGGGTAAGATTTTGAACACAGCCCTTCCCTTTCCCGTTTTTAGGACCTGAAGAGGAGTGGAGGACTCGAGCGATTGACCAACAGCCAACAAAGCTTGCGAGTGGCTGGCTGGACCCTCGTGATGAGAGTGCTCAAGGCCCCCGTGGAGGACACCGGCAAAATTTGACAAAAAAAAACTTTCCCCTTGGCAAAAAAAAAAATGGACGGAAGCGGAGTGCCGTATGATTTAAGCCGGAGTCGTATCGCCTCACAATTTTTGCAGTATCCCGTATGGATGGGCCTTGAATAGGCTTGCGCCGTCGACGCTATGTCAGCAACTTTTTGGACGTAAGAAACGGGAGAGAAAATGCACTAAGCAGCAAATTAATAGTTCATTCCTACGTGAGCTAAAATTCCAAAAGTAGCTAAATTCGGAGCTGGATTTAAAAAAAAAGAGACAAATAATTTGGGGGCAGTCACAAATTGGCCACCCCAAACTTCTACTGCCTACTGGGCTTTAAGTCTGCCCCCAAAAATAGTAATTTTTTTTTTTTTTTTTTAAGGGCATCAAGTTTTGTTTTTACGTTAATTCGTGGTTGCGTTACATTCGTGCAAATAAAGTAACATCTCGCATCAACATATAGGTACAGTGCCCCTCAAACTTAACGCCGCCACTCGGTTTCGCAAATATTGATCCATTCAATTTTATTGCATGCTACCCAAACATGAATTGATCGCGGCAGCTGCTGGAATACCTTCTCCTGGTTAAGTTTTCATCGGGGACGCAAATCTTCACCAACCATTTTGACTGCTATGTTCAGGGAAGGGAAGAAAAGGGAAGAAACCGAAGCATCTCGTGGCGGCGTTAAGTTTGAGGCGCACTGTACCTCCTGGCAGGTATTTGGAGCCATAATGGAGCACCAACCTTTTTCATTTTTTTTTCCAAGAGCCATAACAGGCTCGAATTGCTTCGAAAAGGACACTTGACGGCCCAAGACCCAACATGTTGTGTGCAAAGTTCAGATTATTTCCCTTATTTCAATGTGGCGTAGTTTCGCGGGCGTCCGCAAAATTAAATAACTAATGGAATAAGCATTTTCCGACGTGTGGCCAGCTTCGTCTAGCCCTCGTGCCAGATTGCCTCGGTCATCTGTCAAATGCAGCCAAGGTGAGGCGGGACTTGGGGTTTTTAAAGGGATACTGAACTGAAGAATTTAGTATCCATAATAAGTGGCGCACATTCTTTCCACGAGCCAGGAGCTGCCGGTGTGTGCAAGCAACGAAATTGACGTCATAGTCCCCCATTCGCGCTTAAGATGATAGCGAAATGTAAGGGCCTTGGGCCAAAGGAGAATAAAGACAGGCTTTTCATCTCCACAATTGAAAGCTACGTGCTTGCTAGACCAATTGATCGCTTACCTTTCAGAAGAGACTCCACTGTGGAGATGAAAAGCTGGTCTTTATTCTCCTTTACCTCGGAGCCCACACATTTCAGTGTCACCTTAAGTGTGGATGGGGGACTATGACGTCAATTTCGGTGAGTGTGCTCGCTCACATCGGTGGCTGCTAGCTCAAGGAAAGATAGCGCGTCACTTACTATAGACACTGAAATGTTTGGTTCAGGATCCCTTTAATGAACAGCATCCACTTTCTACAGAGAAGATATTTCCCCACTAAATATAGCGAACAACTTGCAACGTGCCGCACATTGGCGTCACGCGACGCCATGACGCGACGTAACAATGTGACGTCACGCGACACGCTGTCGTGCGATATAGTGACAAAATGCGGTTAGGTCAAAGCAAGCAAAAATGGTGCTTGGAAAGTTCCCGTACAAAGCTTCAAAAGTGAACGGAGGTCGCAGGTGGTCTCGTAGGCAGGCATCCCGAAGACGTGTCCCCGGCGCTATAGCGTGCAAAACCAAGAGCGCAGCCAGGGACGCACCTGTCCAGGGAGTCTTCCACCTCGAAGCTGTCGTCCAAGAGTGCGTCACTGTCCTTGTCCCAGAGGGGAGCTCTCGCCCATCGGTGTCCTGCCAGCGCCTTGATGTCCTGTTGGCAGACCCAGAAGTGCCCAATGGTGCCCCTTTAAAACCGGGAGTCTTACGGGTGCTGCAAACGGGGCTCGGGTAACGGCTAAATATCCCGTCAAGAGTCGCTCGAGGATTTGCTAGGCCTTGTCACAGTCCTTAGATGCCTCTCGTCCGGAAGCCTTCCTTCCCACTGCAAGAGAGCTTTCCCTAGGGACGTGCCGAACCGCCGGAGGCACGCTCTCGGCGTTGCGGGCGAACCCGTTGAATAGAACGAGGAGCCTACCGGGGAAGAGCCGTCCGTGCTCCCCTCAAAAACTCGCATTTTAAAGGCCGGCATTCGAAGAGACGGCGTCGAGAGCTTGCACTTAGGCTGGCGCAGTTAGAAATGTGTCTCGGGCTAGCAACGCGCGCGAGATGCCGCCGCTGGGCGAAGCTGTCCAAAGACGGCGAGGCGGGTGTCGGTACTTGCGGCATCGTCCGTCGTCGATCTATAATCATTATTTTGATTTAAATACTTTTTGCCCTAATGCGCGAGTAAAATGCGTTCCAACTGCCACCGACATTGGCATTTAAGGACCGCGATAGTAGTTTACATTCTGCGCATTTTTTATTTATTTTGCGAAGCATGTGTACAGAGCAGAGTTCAGTGCACGAAAGAAGTTGAGTTATTATTTTTCTACGAGAGTAAGATTAAGATTGTTGGAAGATATCAATTTTGTGGGTGTCAAGCTTTATGAAACGCATTTCATGGATTTTTGTGGCAAGGGTTATCTTTCCAATGTTTCAAGCTCCTGGCAGACGCTCACGAAGTGCCAAAAAGACGAGACAGGGACACGGCGCTAACTATCAGCTGGGTGCCTTCAGATAAGATCAAACAACCACATCCAATCAACATTTTGAATTCTTACGAAAAAAATATGTTGTTTGTGTACCCGGAAAAACATATTCAAACTTTTTTTGTGAAAAATAAAATTCATGTTTTGGAACAAAAATTACGAAGTCGCTGTTGGTTAAGTGTGCGTTTTGCAACTTGCGCGAAGTCGGCATTTTGGAAAGTTACAAAACAAAAACTGTTCTTGCTGTAGACTTAATATATTTAGTGCAGAGTGTGGACACACTGTGAAATTAGTAAAAGATTTCTCGTTGTTACGAAGCATTTTAATGTTGTAATAAAAAATTACAAATATGGCACATACGCGAAATTGTCCAAATTCCGAGCTTTGTAGCCCCGCATAAACAAATTCCGGAAACTTTTTTATTACTATTGGGACGCAAGTGTTCGGCATTCGTACAAGTTTTCTTTCAAATTGAAAGCGTGCATTCTTTCCAAAAGATTACTCAAATGTAGGCTGGTTACTCCTTTTGTGAGATTTTGAAAATCACTTAAAAAAAAAGGCCATCTTTTGTTCCACAAATCAGGTCCTTTAAAAACATATGGCAATATTTACGTATTTTTTCAAATTTACGATACCCCCAATACAATTGCATTAGCAGAACTGCCGTTATTGGAGTAGAGAAAGATATTGTATGTGCGTATATATTGTCTTTATTGTAAAAAATAAAATAAATTATACAGAAAGGTGCGGAGCGAGACGCCCATGGTCTTGGAGGAATGGGGAGACAAAGAGGTGTGTGTGTAGGAATTAGGAGGTGGGGATCTAATATTCTACGTACGAGTCAGTGATCTGATGGGGGCACTAGGTCGTATCCCCCGTCGGTCTATATCCCGGCCCGTCATAGAGTGTAGTGTGGGGTTGAGCTATTGACAACTTCAGTTATACAGATGGGCTATGCAAGGTCAGAGCCTGGGTGTGCGATCTGTTGCCTCCAGAAAGTCGATCAGGGCCTTAAGTATGTTAGTCTCTTTCGGCCACTAGCGCGTCGGGAAAAGTGGCGCGTTGGAATCTCCTGGGGATGTGGTAGTTCACGTAGCTCGTCTTATATCTAGCGCGTCGCGGTCCCGGATGATGTGTTGCCTACGTTCGGTCGAGTCGCACGAATTGCATTGTGGTGATTTAAGTTTTCCGATGAGACGGAGTCGCCTGTTTGTAGACAAACAGTTGACTCGTAACCGGTGTAGCGGGGCTCGTTGTTTTCCAGAGAATTTGTTTCATGGAATCGGGAGTGGGACTGGTGCTGCGTTGTATTCAAAATACGGAGGTATGCTTCCTATTGCTGTTGAGATTAGAGATTCTGCTGCATCGTATGGATGAAGTGTGACAAGTATGTAGCGCCCCCCTCCAGTCCGCCCGTCTGCGGCCGCCTGGCTCGGCGGGCAACATTGTTCACCTCGCCCAATAAACGCCGTTGAGCGCACGCGCTCCGGCCAGTCATCGTCCACCTTCACAACCAGGCTGCGTGTCGTCTCTCCTCGGCGGGTGCTTCGGCCCCCTTCGTCCACGTTCGAGAAAGATCGTGACACTGGCGACGAGGATGGGATGGGACTCTGGCGACGAGGAACCGTGGCACTGGAGGCTACCAACGTGCACGGTTCGACCCACGCCGCCGAGAGAGTCGCAACACCGCCGCCCGCTCCTGTCGCCATGCCGCTGTACGGGAGGCTCGAGCCGTTCAAGGGAGATGGGTCCGCCTGGCCGGTCTACGAAGAACAGGTCCACGTGTTCTTCCGGGCGAACGACACGCCCGAGGCGAAACAACGGGACATTTTCCTGGCCAGCTGCGGGACCCGCGTCTTCAGCCTCCTGTTCGACCTCCTCAAGCCGGCCACGCCGCACGTCAAATCGCTGGGTGAGCTGCTCGCCACGCTGCGCTCGCACTTCAGCCCGGCGCCGTCCACGCTTATGGAGCGGTTCCGCTTCAACAACCGGAGCCGCCGGGACGGGGAGACCCTCGGGCAGTTCGTCGCTGCGCTACGAGGGTTAGCGAGCACCTGCGCCTTCGGCGACCAGTTGGACTCATTACTCCGGGACCGGTTCGTCTGCGGCATCAACAACCCCACCATGCAGACGAGACTCCTGGAGCTCCCCGACCCCTCGCTGGACGACGCAGTGAAGGCAGCGCTGGCAATGGAAGCAGCAGCGAAGGACGCCGGCGAGATAGCGCGTACGGCCGGCTCACCGTCGACGGAAGCGGCGGTGAACAAGATGGCGGCAAGGAGCGGTGCCTGCAGCCGCTGCGGTGCTGCCCACTCCCCCTCACAGTGCCAGTTCGTCCAAGCACAATGCTTTACGTGCGGGAGAACTGGGCACCTCGCACGTGTCTGCCGAGGGGGGAGGACGAGTGGCGGCCAGCAGCAGCGGCGGCAGCCTGGTTCAAGCCCGGGTTCCAGCCAAGCCCGCGGCCAGGGTGGTCGTCGCAAGCGAACGCGGCGGGGATGAGCGGCACCAGGTCCGGGTACCTCTTCAGCCAGGGTCCACGTCGTGGCCGAGGACCCGCAGATTTTCGACGTGTGGCACACCAGGAGAATTTCATCGTCTGTGCCACCATACATGGTGTCTGTCGAAATCTGCGGCCACCCCATCACCATGGAGCTGGACACGGGGGCCAGCGTGTCGGTCATGCCCGGGAAGCTGTTCAAGCGGACCTTCCCCGGCGTGTCCATGTCTGACGTCATGCTGCGCAGCTACTCCGGGCAGCTTTCCCAGGTCCAGAATCGGGCCCAAGTCAGCGTTCGCCTTGGCGACAGGGAGGCAATCCTTCCTCTTTACTTAACCAAGGGGTCGTCGCCGACGCTGCTGGGCCGGAACTGGATTCACTCGCTGGGTGTTCGGCTGCCGGAGTACCAAGAAGCTGCGCTGCACGTGGTGAAGGACGTCCCGAGCCTCCTGACCGACTTCCAGTCCCTGTTCCAGCCGGGGGTGGGCACCTTCGCCGGCACGACGGTCGGCATCCACGTTCCCGAGGGAGCCCGGCCTCGGTTCTTCAAGCCGCGTCCGCTGCCATTCGCCCTGAAGGACGGGGTCACCCAGGAGCTGCAACGGCTGCAGCGAGAGGGAATCTTGGTGCCCGTCAAGTCTTCCGAGTGGGCTGCACCGATCGTTCCAGTCCTCAAGCAAGACGGCCGCGTCAGGATCTGCGGGGACTTCAAGGTCACCATCAACCCCGTCGCTACCGTCGAGAAGTACCCGCTGCCTCGGGTAGAAGATCTCTGGTCGGCTCTGTCCGGGGGACAGAAGTTCACCAAGCTCGACCTTCGAGATGCCTACCAGCAGCTGGTGCTCCAGGATGCCGCCCGGAAGTATGTCACCATTTCGACAACCATGGGACTCTTCCAGTACACGCGCCTACCGTTTGGCGTGGCCTCAGCCCCAGCCATCTTTCAGAGAGAGATGGACAACCTCTTCAGGGGCATGAGGCACGTGGCGGTGTACTTGGACGACATCCTGGTTACCGGTACCGACGACGGGGACCACCTGCAGAACCTGCGCAAAGTCCTGACAAGACTACAGGACGCCGGTCTCAAGCTGAGGCTGGACAAGTGCATGTTCCTGAACCCCAGCGTGGAGTACCTGGGACACATCATCTCCCAGGCTGGCCTGGCCCCGGCACCCCGCAAGATTGAGGCCGTGCTCAAGGCGCCGAAGCCCAAGAGCAAGAAGGAGCTTCAGAGCTACCTCGGCCTCATCAACTTCTACAGGAGGTTCCTGCCCAACCTGTCGACGCATCTGGAGCCGCTGCATCGCCTGCTTCGTGACGGGCAGCAGTGGGCCTGGAAGAAGGAGCAGGACTTGGCCTTCCAGCGCAGCAAGGAGCTCGTTGTTAAGGCTCCAGTGCTGGTGCACTTCGATCCGGCCAAGCCTGTAGTCCTCACCATGGATGCGTCGCCGTACGGGGTAGGAGCCGTCCTGTCACACCGGGGTCAGGATGGTCAGGAACGCCCTGTGGCGTTTGCTTCTCGTCGGCTTCATGCGGCGGAGCAACGCTACAGCCAGCTCGACAAGGAAGGCTTGGCCCTCATCTTCGGGGTCCAGCGCTTCCATCAGTACCTGTGGGGCCGGCAGTTCGAGGCAGTCACGGACCACAAGCCGCTGCTGGGGCTGCTGGGACCTGACAAGGCAG